ATCATTTTTATTGTGGAGGTTGTTAATCATGGATATTATCATCTTCATTATTTTAATTTTAGAGAAATACATGAAACAGTTTCATTAAAATTTCATTAAGTAATATATAAAACAATTTCATAACCATATATGAAACAACTTCATAAAAAAAAGTATTATATGAAACAATTTCATGAAAACATTTCATAAGATTAAACAATAAAATCGATGAATGAGAGTAGTTTTTACGGTTTTTACAAATTGGAGTGGTTTTCATTTGATCGCTTCTTTCTATATATATATATATATATATATTAAAAGAACAACCAATAATGATAAGGTGGATTCATGCATATATCAAAGGTAATATTGATTCTTATTAATTTGATATATAAATATAATCATCGATTCATTTAGCTAACTTCAGTAATTTTAAAAAATATTATTGTCACCATGCAACGCATGGTGTCAAACACTAGTTGATGTTTATATCAAATAAATGGTTTTTATGTTTTGGGGGTTACAATTGGCATGAAACTAGTTGAGGGAAATGCCATATGTACCATTTAATATAGTAGTTGTTCATATCTACAATTTAACACTACCTTTGCCTTTTAGATGTTACAAGTGTAACATGATGGAAATATATGATTGGTTCCAATGTAGAGTCTTTTCACGATCCTAATCTTTCCTTAAGCGCATCCGTTTCTCATGTCAACTCCATCCCCCACATTTGCATAAGTTTGCCCATTCATGTCTACATGCTTTTATAAACTCTCTTTGTCGTTTATTGCCCCCACCGTGAAAAAACACTTTAAGCGTAAGTGCTTACCGGGTAAAAGACACTTACCATAATTCATTTGTGTAATATGGATTCCATGGTTCCTTAGGATAAGTGTTTTAATAAATGCCCCCTAAGTGTTTTATATTTTCTTTTCATTTGTGAATTTGTAACATCATTTTCGTAGTGGGGTGTGTTCCCAGTTTCACGTGATCTGATAATTTTACTTGTTTTAAAGTTTACAGGGTTTGAATAATTTATTTCTCCATTCTCCCACTAATTGAACTGTAGGAAGTTGATGCAAGTATCAGGTCAGAGGTTTGGACTTTCTTACTTGGAGTGTATCACTTCCAATTTGTTTTCTAAGTTCACTATGTAGTTTTTAGGTGGATGTTACATATGCATCCCATATTGTAGATGTCTTTTATCTTTCAACATTTGCTTGTTTAACTAGAGGCTGTTTATTGAATGAGAGCACTGGCTGCATTTTAAAGAGCTTGTGTATTATATTTATGCATCTCGGTGAATGATGTTAAAAGTTATTTAAACTATAAATAGAGCATCAGACATTTAGGCATGGGAACACCCATAATACAAAGGGGACTTATCAGACTTGTGGGTTGAAAGAGTGCAACTAGCAGGTGGTTTCGGGATGTCTCTGTAGAGATTGGGGATGTTAGAGCTTCTTTTGACCCCAAATTTGTTATGTTTTCAATAGTTTTTTGCTCACTGTCTAATTTGTAGACAGAGAATGCCTAACAATGCTTACTGCTGCTAATGACCTACTTTCCTTTCTCCATTTTTTTACTCAACAGTGATGAACTGAACAGTTGCCAAGAAGAAAGGGATAGATTAAGAACTCAGGGGAGGTATGCTAGTCGATACCATATTCAATTTCAAGAGAGACTGTTGTTAATGATGAAGACCGTAATGAAGGTGATACAACAATTGGTGATGAAGAACATTATGAAAGTGATGATGTTGTTAGACATCACGAAGGGTTGCAAGAAAGTCAAATGGTTATTTCTCCACTAGAAATTAATGATGCAAATGAAGATTAGTTCATACCATGACCTTAACATAGATTTGGCATTACTTTAGTATATTTTAGCCCAACTTTTAGTATATTTTGGCATAACTGTTGGTATTTTTTGGCACAACTTTTGGTATATTTAACACAATTGTTAGTATTTTTGGCGCAACTTTTGTTACATATTTTGGTTCCACTTTTTGTATATATTTTGGTTTAACTTTTGGTAAAATTATGCCCAAATTTTGTATGCAGATTATTATGCTTTGTATACAACTTTTATATGTTTTGTGAAGAGTAATGAGAATGGTATATTTGTTTTTTTTTTTTTATAAATGTAAGTACTTTTTTCGTTCAAAAAATGTTTAAGGACTTGATCGTTCAAAATATGAGAATCCATTGATTTTTTTCGGACTTTTTCCACTAACAGAATGTATTTAACATATTTTAGAAAGTCCAGTGAGTTATTTAACAGGTTATATAATGTCCAATGACTTATTTAACAAGTTTTAGAATGTCCAATGGTTTATTTGTTTCAAAAAATTGTCCAAAAACTTAATCATTTTAAATAGTAAAATCCATTGAGTTTTTTTTACTTTTCCCTTTAATTAATACTATGTTAAATAAATTTGTATTTATTAATATAATTTTACATGTTTGTTAGGATTCCCCAAAATAAGACCAAATTCAACAAATTTTGAAGAATGATTTTGGAAAGGTAAAAAGCTGCAATCAGTCCCTCATAAAAAGGGTGGGGCATGTGAAAGCACAACTGTTGATTCAATTCCACAAAATACCACCAAATCAATTAATTCATGAATCCCCATCCTCTTTGAATCCCAACACCCATTTGCTAACAAAGATCCAGAAATGGAGTTTCATGTCTGAAATCCCGTACCAGATTCAGGAAGATGGCTAACAAGGTCTCCAATTTTTCAGATCTGATCCAACGAGTTACAGCTTCCTGCTTGCTTCATCCACTTGGTTCCGGCCGACGCTTTGCCGACGACGTCACGGATACACACTCAGGAGAAGACGATTCTGATTATGAAGAACATAACAAGTCGGAAAAATACTACGACGACGATGAAGAGGATGAAGTGTCTCCCGCGGTGATTGAGCAAGCAAAAGGAGATGCCTATAAAACAGAGAGGCAGATGGAAATGGTGATGTTGATGAGTGAAGTGTTTGAAACGGTGTCGTCTATGAAGAAGGCGTATGTTAGTCTACAGGAGGCGCACTGTCCGTGGGATCCAGATAAAATGCGGCTGTCTGACATGGCGGTTTTAGCGGAGATGAGGAAGCTAGGAGTTTTGAGAGAGCGATTTCGGAGGAGTGTCGGGAAAGTCGGTGGCGGCGGTGCGACGGAAGCGACCAAGAGAACGGTTGCCGGACTTACACTGAGGGAGGTGGTGGCGCCGTATGAGGCGGCGATGGAGAAATTGAAGACGGAGGTGAAGAGCAAGGAGGCGGAGATCGAAAACTTGAGAGAGAAATTAAAAACGGCCACCGTGCTCAACGGCGGTGGGAGCAGTGGCCGGAAAAGTAGGTCTCACCCTCATCATCAGTCAAAGAAAAAAGTCAACTACAGTAGTCAACTTCAAGGTACAGTAAATTATGCTTCCTATGTATCATTACTTGTACCGTACAACCCTTTACTGCCATAAAAATCTCACCTCTATGCATTGTTAGTTGTATATTCTAGAATGTTCTCGGCGTTAACCTCTTGCCACCGTTTGTTACTGCAGTTTCGCCGTCACCGATGCCGGAGGTTTTTGAATCATGCATAAGCTCCGTGAAAGAAGGATCGAAATCATTCACATCACTCCTCCTCTCACTCATGAAATCAGCACATTGGGACATCGCAGCCACCGTTAGATCCATCGAAGCCTCCACTACCACCACCGCTGGTGCGCCGGCCGCCGTAAGAGATTCAATTGTTGGACCGAATCACGCAAAATACGCTCTCGAATCATACGTGAACCGAAAGATCTTCCAAGGATTTGACCACGAGACATTTTACATGGACGGGAGCTTATCATCTCTGCTAAACCCTAACCAATTCCGAACCGAATGCTTCACGCAATATCGCGACATGAAAGCCATGGATCCGATTGAGCTTCTCGGAATCCTCCCAACCTGCCAGTTCGGTAACTTCTGCTCGAAAAAATACCTCTCCATCGTCCACCCAAAAATGGAGGAATCATTGTTCGGAGATTTAGAACAACGGCGTCAGGTTTTGGCCGGAAACCACCCAAGGACCGGGTTTTACGGCGAGTTTCTGGTGCTGGCGAAGGCGGTTTGGCTTCTTCATTTGCTTGCATTCTCATTGGATCCACCCCCAACTCATTTCGAAGGAAGTAGAGGGGCGGAATTCCATCCGCAATATATGGAGAGTGTGGTGAGGTTTCCCGGTGGGAGGGTGGCCGCCGGCCATGTGGTCGGGTTTCCGGTGAGTCCGGGGTTTAAGCTGGGGAATGGATCAGTTGTAAAAGCGAGGGTGTATGTTGTCCCTAAGAGTGAATTATAGGGGTAGAAAGTGTAATATTGTATAACTGAGGGAAATTGATTGCAGGGTCTGTGTTTGTTGTGTATTTTAATCTAGAAATGGAAATGGAAAGCAACTAGACCCATCTATGACTTATTGCATTCAGACAATTCTTTATTTGGTTCTTTTAGTAACCCTGATATCTGAAATATTCAGTCATGACTCTTTGGTTTGTAGTTTGTACTACAGAGCTAAAATTAGGTGAAGCTGTTTGGCTTTTTTGTCATATTTACCGTACAAAAAATCTTATATCGTGTAACAACCACTTTTATGTGGTATCGGTTTAATTGGTACTAATTTACATTATAAGCTCTTACTGTAGTAAGAGTCGTTGTCTTCATTTACCGGGTTAGACTCTTGTTTCTTGTCTTGCTTTTATCGGGTAAGATTCTTGGTCTTTGTCATATTCATCCGTTGAGGTAATATGACTTGGTAAGCGCTTGTCCGGGTAAGCGTTTAATAAACGGTCCCTTAGTCGAATAAGAATTAGATTGGAGAAAACTCAAACGTTATAGCTACTATATCTAATTATAGTTTGTATGTTAATACCAACTGAACTAAACCAAGCACGTACCGTATGAGAATGTGTGACCAAAACAGACATGAGAAATACTACCGAATACTATCTCTCATGAATTTTAAAAAAGACACATGCAACAAATATGTATAATAAGCATACTTATATGTCTATAATCATATTATTTGTATCATCTCATGAGACCAAAACTAAGTAATGCTATTGATCGGATTGATTCTTTCTGGGTAATGCTATACAGTGCATCGGGTTTTTGGGTAAACTAACCTTCAAAAAAGCTAAAATATAAAAATAACCTATAAAAAATTATTTTTTTAAAAAGTCACTCATTTAGCACTCCACACTACATGGTGTGTAAGAGTTTTTTGCTAAAAAAATTTAACTTTTTCTGATAATGTGACTGCTTTGTAGGATTCTTGCTGGCGGAGGCTGACGGTTAAGCACCGGCGGTTGTGAAGTTTCAAGTGTAAAAAGATGGTCTCATGGGTCTCACAAAAACAGATAGGTCTCGCGTGATCCTAATTATATATATGTGTGTGTGCATGCACGTATGTGTGTGATTTTTACTAAACATCACCAATATGTTTTAATCCAATTTTTACATAAAAAAAATTATCTTTCCCTAAACTCTCATGTGGAGTTTGAAAAGGGTGATAGTGTGGAGTTTGAAACAAGTTATAATTTTGGAGAAGATAATTAAAAAATTATCTTCTTCCATCAATCTCAGTATCACCCGTTTTTTAAACTCCACAAGAAAGTTCGGAAAAGATAATATTTTTAAATGAAAAATTGGATTAGAACGTAAAATCATACATATACAGGGGGTATAATGAAAAAGGCAAAATTGGAGTCAAAATAGGGGTGGGATGCCGGGTGGGCCCCATAAGCACCGTGCACCCACTGCCCACTGGTGCTTAACTGTTAGCCGTCGCCGCTGAGAATCCGGCTAAGCGGTTACATCATCAGAAAAAGTTATTTTTTTTGCAAAAAAAAAAACTCCCATACATACCATGCAACGTGTAGTAGTGGTGCCAAAAATGGTCACGGGCCGGGCCAAGGCCCAAATTGATCCCGGTTCCAAATAGTGATCCCGTAACTGGTCCCGGTCCTAATCCAAATACGACGGCCCGATTATGAGAACTGGTCCCAGTCAAGGTCTCGGGGTGGGCCAAACCGGTCCTATTTATAAAAAAATTCGATTTTTTACATAATTTTTAAAAAGTGTTATCTCATACACTTGAAAATATATAATTGAATTAATTAAATATACTCGAAAATATGTTTTTTTTTTGTGAGAATTGTGAACGTGTGTGAGTTGGTATCTTCTCCCATACACTATATGAGTTATATAGTGAATAGAGGGTAAATAAGACAATTAAATACACTTAACAAATACGTTTTATTATAATCTTGTAATTGATTTTCAATAAAATACACTTATAAAGTTGTAAATACATTAAAAATGAATTTGAAAATACAATTTTTTTGGAAAAACAGGACCGGACCCATAACCGGTCTCTGGCCGGCTTTGTTTTTTGACGAAAACCATGACCGGTTTTTAACCGGCGGTCCAAAACCGGTCCCGATCAGTCCCAAGTCGGTCCTGATCTCGATCATCCGTTGGTCCTGGGTCAGGTCGGGCTCATTTGGTCATCTTTAGTGTGTAGTGTTAAATGGGAAGCCATTCTTTGAAAAATATTTTTTATAGGTTATTTTTATAATTTGATTTTTTTGGGGGTTGGTTTAATCAATAACCAACAATGCAACCCGTTATATGCAAAAGCCAGGTAAAAAACAAGTCTTAATATTGATACGTTCAAGGAGAAAATTAGTATCTATTCTAGATCGAGGGTTGAGTTCACGTAAGACCAAATATTTTTCATAAGACCCATAAGACCAATTTATATTCATTTATCAACTTTATAAGCTAATGATTTAATAGTTTAAAGTTGCACGGTGACAATTTTCTGATTATTGAAAAGTCTCGTGGCCTTTATGAATGTTCAGATTGTCAGGTTGTAGATCTAATCCAAGAGTTAAGAATTTATCTTAAAAGTCTCACGAAAAACCCTTGTCTCATATTATCCCAAGTCATCGAATCACAAATTCAATATAACTTTTTCTCCTTTTCTAAATTTTATTTTATTTTTTCCCAATGGAAAAAAGGAGTAAATTACATTCTTGGTCCCTGTTGTTTATGAGCTTTAATACTCTGGATCCTTGTTTTGGAATATCTACGTATGACATCCCTGTGGTTTGCACTTTATAACGTTTCGGGTCCCTATATCTAATTCTATCCAAAAAATGTTGTTAGATGAGTTAAATCAAAGAGGTATTTTAGTCATTTAATTTTTTTTTTCTAACTAATTTACTCTATTTATTTATTAAACCGTAGGAACCAAGAATGTAATTTACTCCATCTTCTTTGTCTTCTCCTACAAGACACTCCATTCCTTTTCTTTATCCGCTCGTCTTCTCCGGCCACAACGAGATCTTCGTCCACCATACACTATACCACACACCGAAAAATAACCGAACACAACAAATCAACCCAAATCCAAACCCTAATAACTAAAACTAAAAAATAAAATAAAACACCCACAGATGAAAGTCGAAATTAAATTCAAACTCAAATGATATCCAAAATCAGATCAAATTCATGAACCCATAGAGAAAATTTGTAGAAATTCATAATCAACTGAATTTGTATAAATTCATAAAAAGGATTTGTAATACAAACCTTAAAATAAATATCCTAATTACAAACCTTGAATCAAGACGTTGTTTGATAGTGGAAGAACACCTAAATTAAATACTTTAATAAAACGACAAACTCATCCCAAATATCATATTTCTAAAATAAGAAATCAAAGTTCAAATCTGCTTTATTAAGTTGTGGCGAACTCCAAAGGACCGTCTTTGTATTTGTCTTATAATGCTCATTAGATTAGGGACCATCTTCGTCTTTGTTTTCGTGGCTCGCTAGATATGGGCTAGAGAGATGAGCGGTCCCCTTCCACACCCGTCACCTTCCCCCTCTCTAAACATGTAACAAAACTTAAAAACTACTCCAACAAACCCCATCAAAGTGGAGATGGATTGAGAGGAAATATGGGTAGTAGATCTCGTCTGGTCTTCGTGAAGCACCCTCGGTCAAATTTGGTCTCGATGAAGCAGACTTGCTCAAACCTGGTCTTGAACCGGTGTAATAGATCATCGGTGGTTCTTGATTGCTTCCGGTTTAGTTGTAGCCACCAAGTCGGGATGCTGATGGAGTTGAAGAGGGAAGGAATTGGAGGAGGTCGTCGGGGATGGATGCCGAAGTAAGGGGACGCATGACCAAATAGGTGGATGGCGATGGTGGACAAAAGGTTTCATCAGGAAGAAGAATGCACAATGGTGGCTAACGTGAAGATGGAGGCCGATAGGAAAAGGTTGTAAGGTGACGACTCTGTTCAGGCAAAAATAAGGTAGGAGGTTTATGGGTAGATGTGATGTATAATTGTACAATAATAATAGTTATAATAATGGATTACATTCTTGTGGTTTTAATAGAAAATAACATATAAATTGAATGACTAAAATACGTAAACTAACTGAGTTAACAAAAGAGTTTGGATGTAGTTAGTGACAGGGACCCAATGCGTTATAAAATACAAACCACAAAAAAATAATGCGTAGATATTTTAAATTAGGGATCCATAGTGTTAAAACGCATAAACCACGAGGACCAAGAATATAATTCACTCAATAATAATCTATACTATATTATAAAACATTTAACAAAACTCTAAAAAACCACTTTTTATGCGTAAAATATTGTTTATTAATGCATATTACTTAAACTCAAGATTGCAAGTAGATTGTGCGTAAATACAACTTATTAAAGCTCCATATCTGAATTCATGTAACTAATTACAGATAAATATAATCAAATACAAGATAAACATCTCATTTTAAATATAAAAAATCTAAATATAATTAGGATAACATTGATTTCTAACAGGATATTTAATTATTATTATTATAAAATGTTATATTATTAAACCAAAAATAATAATTTCGTTATTAAACTTAAATTAAATTATAATAAAAAAATAAATTAAAAAATTACATAAAAAATTAGAACTTTTAAATAGTTGATTTAATATTAATATTGATATATTTTTTTTCCAAATTTTATGATATTTTCAAATTTATATTTTGTTCAAAAATAAAATCATTATTGCTTTCTTAAAACACATAAAATCATATTATAACATCGACATAGATAAATAATAAAATAAAACATTAAAATCAAGTGTCTCGTTGCGTTCCGCGATTATTTTTCTATTTTAATTTAAATTTTAAAAGATGGGGTTTTTCTCTCAAAATAATGGGCCAAGGCCCAAAAGCCCACTAAAATATGGCGGGAATAGAGGACTTTTAGGTTTTTCAATCATCCCGCCAATAAGCGTTTGGCTTCCCTCGTAAGCTCCTTTCTCCCCCTATATATAAACCCTAAACTCTCATTTATTCCAATTGTTCCAATTCCCCCCCTTTTTCTGTGTTTTTCGAATCCCAACCCTAATTTTCTCATCTGAATCCAGAGTTTTTGTTCCTTCCGGGTTTAAAAATGTTGGAACTAAGGTTAGTTCAGGGGAGTCTCCTCAAGAAGGTGATGGAATCGATCAAGGATCTGGTAAATGACGCCAATTTCGATTGCTCGGCCACCGGGTTTTCGCTTCAGGCCATGGACTCGAGCCATGTGGCCTTGGTGTCTCTTCTTCTTAGATCGGAAGGCTTTGAACATTACCGTTGTGACCGCAACATTTCTATGGGTATGAATCTCAATAACATGTCCAAGATGCTGAAGTGCGCTGGAAATGACGATATCATCACTCTCAAGGCTGATGATGGCAGTGATACTGTTACTTTCATGTTCGAAAGCCCCAGTAAGTATACACTTACCTTCTTCGTAAACAGTAAAGGGTGAATTGTGCTCTGTTATTTTGTTTTGAGGGTTTTAGATCTTGACAGTGCATAGATCTTATTCCGGACTCATAAATTTTACTCACAACATGTACCATCTCATCTGTTTGAATTTCACTGTTGGTTTTGTAAATTGACTTCTATAAGTTAGCAATATGTGGATGTGTTGATTACTATACCTACAACCAGCGTTAGCTGACCTTGAATTCGTAGTTGATGGGTTAATGTTTTCATATTTGTTTTACCAAAAATAATTGTTGCGAGTATAGAACTAAGCATGCTAATGTGTTTTTCTAGATGAAGATGTAGGAAGCTCTGGGGCTATAAATTTTATGATGTTGACCACACTAGAACAATTTATTAAAATGTGACAACTTATGCAGTTTGTTTTAAAACAATTGTCGTCTGAATCGATCTTCCTTTCCAGAGTGGATTTTGGTTTTCTTGGTTGACTAGGTACTAATCTAATGCTTCGAGTCAACAACGAGTCTAGAAGCTTTCAGCTGTATTGAAGACTTAAAATGAAGCACAGGAATCTGGAGTAGAAGTCAACTGGTTTAAGGATGTTTTTTAGTTCTCCTATTAAGTTGGTGATTCAGCTATGGTAGTTTTGTAGGTGAAACAAGTTGGTTGCAAGAGTGTATGTACTTGTTAGGGGAAACAGTCAGAGGCATCTGATAATTGTTTGCTTAAACACATTTGGGAGGTGGTGGAGGGAGAGACCAGTCACTTGAATGAGTTGTATGTTGTTGCTGTCAATACAGAGCCTAGTCTTTGATGGGAGCCTAGGAAACATCTGACTGTTACTGCCAATTGTGACTCAGTTTGTGTCTAAATGAAACCAAACGAGCACAGTAAATCCCATCTGGACTTCGGGTTGTTGACTCAATTTGTGTCCATGATCTTAAATTTTTATAGGTGTTCATCAGTTAAGCCATTTGGTGATTGCTGTTTTTAAGCTTGAGCACCATCTCTATCTGATAGCAGTTATTTTGTTGTTGGCTGCATCTTTGAAAACTGACATTCCTTCCTAAACTTGCTATATAACCTCCCACGTTTATTTGAAACTCAATTTAACTATTTGGGGTTACCGATATCTTTAAACTCAGATATTGTCACCACTGTAATTTGAAGGCTCCAGATTGTGTTTTGATATTTTGCCTCATGTATTACAGCTCAAGATAAGATTGCTGATTTTGAGATGAAGCTGATGGACATTGATAGTGAGCATCTTGGCATTCCTGAAGCAGAGTACCATGCAATTGTTCGTATGCCTTCATCTGAGTTTGCAAGAATTTGTAAAGATCTCAGCAGTATTGGTGACACAGGTAGTTTCTTACCTGTTTTGCTTAATATATATATTAAAAAAATTTATTGGTCCAAGAAATGAAGAGAGAATGTTATTGGTTTGATGTTGCTTGTAGTTGTAATTTCTGTGACCAAGGAAGGTGTGAAGTTTTCAACAAGAGGTGATATTGGAACTGCAAATGTTGTTTGTAGACAGAATACGACAGTAGATAAGGTACACATACTGTAGACTTATTTTATGATCCACTAGCCTGATTTTCCATCTTTGGGGGTCAATCATGCTTCTATTGCTACCTTGCACCTATGGAGCAGGGGTCTCCTTTGGTACACTTAGGGACCGTTTACTAAACGCTTACCTGGTAAGTATTTACCCGGTAATTTTCCTCACCGGATGAACATGGCAAGGGGCCAAGAATCTTATCCAGTAAGAGCGATGATAAGGATGGTAAGTCTTATGTGGTAAGTGAGGGTGATGACTCTTACCTGGTTAAACGCTTACCAGGTAAATTGTTGTATATGATATGTTTTGATGTACTACAATCTTACTAACGTTAAGCACTTACCGGTAAGCATTTAGGTAAAACGGCCCCTTAAGGTAGGCGGGTGAAAAATTATGGAACATTTTGGGGTCTTAATCTGATATGAGTTGTTCAGTAATTGACCAATCTTGTACTATGTCCCAGATTTTTGTGGTAAGAAATGCTTTTTTGTTCCACTCATGTTTGTCATGTCCTGGTCTCCAAGAGAACAAGTTTTTGTAATGTTTTGTCATGTCTTGTCTTATTGTTTGTATCAACTACATTCTCATTGAAGGGATAATTTCCTCTGAATGAATCTTTTGATGCTTTTGGTCTTAATGTATATGCTTTTTTGTATACAGCCTGAAGAAGCGACTATCATTGAGATGAATGAGCCGGTTTCTTTAACATTTGCATTGAGGTATATGAATTCATTCACCAAGGCTACTCCATTGTCGAATACCGTCACAATCAGCTTATCTTCAGAGCTCCCTGTGGTGGTTGAGTACAAGATAGCTGAGATGGGGTACATAAGGTTCTATTTGGCTCCTAAGATAGAAGAAGACGATGAAGAGAACAAATCTTGATACGGTAAGACTCCAGCTTTATGAATTCGCTCTATGTTATGATAAATGAATGTGATCCCCTTGTGCGCTAAAGTTACACTTAGATAGGAATTTGCTGTAGTATGTAACAATCTTTTAAAAGTTTAGTATTCATGTTTCCAGGGTTGGGATAGTGAAACAATGGTGTAGGGTGTTATTGTTTTCTTGTAAACCTTCTTGGAGTAGTATTTTCTTTGGTTCTTGTTCATTAGTTCTACCTTTTAGTCATGTTTATCGATGATTAAGAATTTGAGATTGATTGTGCCTCATTTAAACATGATTTTGGTTTCTTTTTCTACAAAAACCGAAAATTGTTCAAAAAACTTCGTTCAATTTGTCCAACCTATCCCATCAAAATCGAAGAAGCATACTTGTTTTAAGAATAATTGTAACCCACAAGGGTTGGGTTCGGATTTTCTCAAACTGTTGTAGTTGGGTTAGGTTGATTATGTCCCAAATCACCCGATTTGGGTACACCCCTAGTAGAAATCATTGTGTGAGATATGTTGAACTTTATCAAATTATGATTAGAGTTTAATAACGTTGAGATCGGTTTGTATGAATGACATGGTTTGTATTTGAAACTCACTTTAGGTGTTTTAAAGGTAGATCTTAACTCTGATACCATGCCAATTTCATGAATTTTTAAAGATCACCATCCAAAAAAAGACATGAAGTAGAGAAATTGAGGTATTAAAGTAAAGCAAGTCTTTCTAATACCATATAATGACTTCTTCAAATGCCTTTAAAAACAATTCGTTTTGATCATGTGATATTGACACACAAAATGATCACATGTAACTTAAAAGAGAAATGTTTTGATTATGCGATACTGCATAACATAAAAAGGAAACATGAATAAGATCCCATTATTGATGTTGCGATACAAAACTCACAAAATTTGAATTCGAAGATGTAGAAAGCACTAACCCATGGCTAGTAATATCGCAAGCCTAATTAGGTGCATTTCCGTAAAAATCAACGCAGGTACGGCAGCCACAATCCTCGAATCTACACATATTGCATCCAAAACACACACAATGGACGCAACCCTCGCACCAAAGGTCTTTTCGGCATCCGGTTCGGGTCATTGAGCTTTTCCTTTCTTCGAGATTGTCACATGTCCACCTGAACTGGAACAAAATCAGGATTAAATGATTTGATGGTTTTCAATTTCCATCCTTTTTGTTTGCTTTGTTTATTATGAAAGCCTAATTCAAGTCTAAAACCAGTCGTGTGTGTTAAAGTCTTACATCAACTAAGCTTGGATTGAACATGGCAAGTGAGAGGGAACTAGGTCGGTGAAAGAATAATGGAATATCTTAGCGTTTTAATTTGACATCAGCAGTTTAGTAATTTACCAATCTAGTCACATCTTTCACAATTTTTTCCACCTTTTTTGTGGGGAAAAAAATGGAGTTTTGTTTCAATTGGTCTAATGTCACGTCAAACTTGGGATAACAAGCTTTTTGGATTGTAACCGGATAGGTTTCACGTGCCTCAAAATGTAGATGCAACCAATGTAAATACTTTGTTTGATTCTTCAACTCATGTGATCATTGATTCTGACACGTGCTTACTCGGTAAGTGCTTACTGATATGAGTTAACGCTATAATTTATTTTGATGCGTAAGATTTTAATACATCAAAACGTATCGAATGCAACAATTTACCTAGCAAGCACTTACCTGGGTAAGAGTCGTCATCTTCATTTACCTATTAAGACTCTTCATCATTTTCATCGTTCTTACCCGATAAGATTTTTAGCCCTGGTCATGTTCATCCGATGAGAAAATTTATCCGATAACGACTTACCAAATAAGCGTTTAGAAAACGACCCCTAAGGTGATGTTTGTTACATATATACATGGAAGGGTTCAAATACCATTCTACGAGAACTTGGTAACACATGAAACAGGCGACCATCACGTGTGGTAAACGTGATGAAGGACATGGGAGGTCAAGTTACACTCGCACTATTACACCACTGGTGGTTCCTACACGTCGAATATCAAATATGATAAGAAACTTCTTGCATTTTCATAAAATGCTGATGTTCTCTTTGAAAAACACACATATATACATATATATATATATATATATATATATATATATATATATATATATATATATATATATGGTGTTCCAGGATTTTTGTTCAGTGGGATCAACTTTAAGGTAGGAAAGGCTCGCAAAGTCTGATGTGTTTTTAACCTAATTACAAGGTTTCAAAGGATTTTTAAAGTTTTTTTTGGTTGATTTGGAAGGATTTTTATATAGTTACAAAATCAATGAAATATAATAAAATAGTAGCAAACAGTAGAGAAATCGGTTTATGTAGGTAGGTAGATCGACTTACCGGCCTGGTATCATATCGTAACAAGTACGATTTGGTCTAGCTACAGCATCATGATACAATCGACATGCTTCCTTCGTCCGAAGTTCAAACCGTCGCAGCTTGTTACAGGCACTGCAATTCAAGAACTGGTCACGATGACCGACTTCATTGTACGGCCTTCGGTATTCATCTCCTCTGTAGTATCTCAGTAAACAAGTTTTCGACAATTTTGTCTTCTTGCCGTTGCAATTCCGAACCCAAACTTTAGATCTCCAGTTTGACACACTGGAAGCCCTAGATCCATGCTTTGCGAACTCAACAGGTGAAGTGAACACTGGATTTCAATTGAAAATAGCGGAATTAAAGCTCGATTAACACAGAAAATGCAAAATCGGTTATGTGGATCGATACCTTGATTGCAGTTTTCGTTACAGTTGCAGATAGCGAGGATGGAGCCATCGTCGGCGATTCTGAGGAGCCCGAGTTTGTCTCCGAAGCGAGTGCTTGTGCAACCGCAGATGATTTCGATGTAGTGGAGAGCCATGACTCTGATTTGCGACATAAACTCCTCCAATTCGTCATTGGAGAAAATTGTTTGGGGAACAATCACCAAACTCAATTCTATTACAAATTCAAACAATACATCAACATGGTTTATATATTATATATCTTTTATATTTAAAATAAAATATTTATCTTGTATTTAACTATAATTATCTACATTTAGTTATACGAATTCAAACATTAAGTTTTAATAAGTTGTAATTCGCACAGTTTGTTTGTAACCTTGAATTTTAAACAATATGCATCAATAAACAGTACTTCAACCATAAAAAATGGTTTTCAAGAGTTTTTGTCAAATGTTTTATAATATAGTATACATTATTGAGTTTGTAAATGGAATTATTTTCTCTCTGTATATAAAGAGAGGAAAAAAAAAGAGCCGGGATCATACGAGAACTTTTTATGTTTGCGAGAATAAATAAAATATAGAATTTATGTAAGGGTGTTGTGAAGATTACGTTATACTGTGTGAATGTTTAATTTTCGCAAAATATAAGGTATTTGTACGCTTTTCAAAATAGATACATATAATGATGAAATATCGTGTGAGAAGGAGAGTTAATGTGAGAAGCGTAAGAATGAATATATATACATTTGATTATCTTTAATCTCAAACTCACTCGTGTCTACGTCTATATATCATATAAAATCAACCATGAGTAACCTCAATCGTGTCTACGTCTAGATAACTTCAAAATTTATTGTTATCATATTGTGTTTGTCTGATCGAGAACTATCCCTTTCGCATAAAATCAATTATTTATGCGTTTGTGCAGGTAAACTGAAAATCTAAGTTTCTGGGAACAAATTAATTAACCATTTAAATAACGAATTGTTGAAATCACACTAACTCGAAAAAAAATCAGTAGTCCAAAGTGGATCTAATCAATTGATCGAAATTAAAGTGGCAGTAATAATATCAATCAGATCTAAGTATGAATAACAACTCTAGTAAGTTTAAGTGCGTTCAAATCAAAATCGAGCATATATAGCACAAAATTAACTTTTTAACCAACGCATGACTCAATCGAACATGATTTCTTAAAGATTAACGAAATTAACAAAAAACGATGAAGACGATTTTTCTTACCTTGAGCCATTGATCGTGGTTTGGGTATTTCACACTTGGTGTTCGGAGAGGCTTTTTAGCTTAGTAATGACGCTCTAATCCTACCAGTTGGTATTTTAAGTAACATATAACAGGTTAAATAACGTGAACACAATAGGTAAAATCTCATGAATATAGCTGGTTAAAAAACGTGAATACAGCTGGTTAAATATCATGAATACAATTGGTTAAATATTGTGAATAAGACTGGTTAGGTAATATTGTGAATACAACTGGTTATATAACGGAAATACAACAGGTTAAATATCGTGAATACATCCGGTTAAATAACGCGAACGTCTACACTTTAAATTTTAATGTCAAATAAATTATCTTAATGCTTGATATTGATATGGATATATTTGATTTTTCAGACAAAAGCAGTACTTAGTCAATTACAGAACCAACAATCACAATGACCAGTACCAAAGTCTTTAGTACTGAGTTGTTCTAATTAACAGTTTCTCAAACTAATCCCTACTGAGTTATATCATAAATAACGCTTCAGTTACTTGTAATTGTATCTTAAATAACAGAACCGAAAAGTTATACCCAAAACGGAGCATACAAAAAATGAACCAAATTCTATAGTTTGAGTCTGTTATTGTGCTTGTTCTTTATTGTAATAAGAGAATAATGAATGGTGAAAAAATTGATTCTTCGGTATCATGTTTTAATCAAATTGGTTCTTGATGGTATCATTATTGTATTAAAAAATCCGGCATCAGTTAAAGAATTACCATATATGGATATAATATAATTTCAAGACATCAGATGTTTTTTTTATAAAATGACAACTCATGGGGTTCCCATATAATTAGATATCATCAAAATCAAGACTAAGATGTAAACATGAAATGGACAAATTGCATGAAAAAGTCTTTAACTTGATTCATATTTTGGGTAACGTACTTTCAAAACTTCCATTTTGGTATCAAAGCTGTAAAGTTTTAAACATTTAAGTACCCGTTGAAGATTGATTTTAAATTAAAAAAAGATTAATCTTAGATTAAAAAAATCTATGTCACTAACCACGTTAGCAAATAATACTAAGTTGAATACCACATCACTCGTCACATCAGCATAATAACTACGATCAGTCTTGTGATAATGATGCTAATTTTTATCATTTTCGTACAATTTTTTCTATTGATTCAAGAATTTAAGCCCTGTAAATCATGTTGAATTTGAGTATCTTATACCATATTTTGCTAAATGGATAGAATACCTAGGGGCGCGAGACAACTCTCTCTAAGGAACTCGGCAAAATAGCAAGGTTTTGATGATATCGATATTGATGAGATTGACAATATTGGTGCTAGTTACGATATTGGTGCTAGTGACGATATTGATGCTAGGGTCACCTTACGTCCTTGAACCGATAACCATCTTTCGGAAAAGACTATACTATATTATGCGATTGCAAACAAACTTTTATCAACTGGATTAATGTTGATTCAACTATCTGCTTCTGCTAATTTTTATCATTTTCATATAGTTTTTTCTCATCTTGTTTTTAGAAATTGTCTGTGTTAAATGACGATTTTATATAAAAATTACATATAATATAAATAAAAGCAGCGTTCGTCAACTTTACATTAATTAATATTTTTTCAAAAAAATAATTAAATTAAATACTTTATTAATATATTTATCAAAGTTTAATTAATTATGAGACA